ACAAATCCGCGACAAGTAAAGGAAATCGTTCATCGCTGGCTGGAGAACGAACGGCAGAAAGTTCGGAAACGCCTGCAGAGAGCCACCAAGAATGACAAATGATCTTCCCCCTGTATTTTTTATAATTCACTCATTAAAACATTTGTACTTGAAGGCGCTTATTGATATCCGGAAAGGTAATACGCTGAGCAATTATGTGGGGGCAGGTGGACTATCACTTAGTGTTTACGATGTTACTGAATCGTACTGGGGAAAGAGATAAATCCGTATAATGGGCTATATTTGCGCGTTGGACGACTTAGCTAAGTGCGGACTGGGTGCGGAAGTCCCGAGACTGGGTACAGATTGTCCGCACCCGGGTGCAGAAGTGTGCGGATATTGTGCGGAAATTTCCGCACCCGGGTGCGGATATTGTGCGGAAACTTGTTTCATTTCCGCACTGGTTCCGCACCCGGGTGCAGAAATCTGCGGAACTTGTGCGGAAATGTCCGCACCCGGGTGCAGACATTCTGCAGAAATTTCTGCACCGGTGCTAACTGGGGATGTATTGGGCACACGCAGCATTCTCCGACGCCCCTGTTTTTAGGGGGAATAACTTTTTGTCGAACTGAGACGGTATGTGTGCCCAAACTAAATGCTTTCGCATCTACTTTACCTATATAGTTATTTGTCTAACACTTAGTACGCTATTTGGCGCGCATTCAGTTTTGAATACAAATGGCATGTTTCAGCAGAGCCTGTGTGGCTTTTTGTACCTGTATTTTACTTCTATTATAACACTACGTATTTTCTCAATTGCATAACCGTTTTTTAATACGAAAAACCACGAAAACGCGCAATTGTACGATTTCACAGAATACAAGCGCGGTCATGTGCCTCGACTCTCTCTCTCCTGATTTCGCTCACGCTTGCAGCGGTCATTCGCAAGTCTCATGTACTGACTCTGGTACCAAAACATTTCAGACCATCTTAGGCATCTATTGTGTGTTCAGAAGAAGACCCATGGAACACCAAAATTGGATGATTTTTAGTCCGCTGACCTGGGCCACCGAGGAACTATTTTAAAGAGAACAGCTATTAGTGAGTCTGTTCCATATGACCTCTTTATTATTGTATACCGCACCTAGCGTTATTATTTTCATTTCTTTGCCACACACTAACTTATTGGGTAACCAGACCACTACAAATTTGTTGAGTCCGAGCATTTCTAGATATTTTTTAAAAGCTTTTTATTTCAGGTCGTCGTAATTTTGTTTCTTTCGCCCGGTAGTTACGGGGCACACTTTGATCCAGCGTATTTAGTCGAGAATGCGATTAACATGTGTTTGCCAGCCTACAATCCACGCAACTCCAGGGTATGGGGCCATTTTTACTACCCGACGCATCACTTCCCAAGCCACGCGATTTTCCTATGTTGTCCAGCCCCTTGTGATGTGGCAACAGAAGTGGCAGATGTATTGGAAGATATTCCCAGGGGAAATCCGTATGACGCCCTTCGAGCGGCCGTCACAAGTAGGACAGGGAAATCAGAAAACAGAATGCTACGGGGTCAATTCACCACTGTCGAACTTGATGACAGATCGCCGTCGCAAATGCTTCGCCACATGCGTAGTCTCCTCTGTGGCTATAAGCTAGCGGTGGAAATCATGGCCCAACTATGGCTCGACAAAATCCCACCCTCCATGTGCCATGTCACCAGTGCTTTCGTTGATGACCACAGCTTGGAGCAGTTAGCCCAAATGGTGGATAAGATGCACGAAGCATACTCCAGTAACCCTGTAAATTCAGTTTCCCGCCCTGCGCCCATCACAGATTCCGACCCACTTCTTGCCTCTATATCGCACCTACAAGCCAAGTTTGATGCTTTGACCGATCACCTACAACGGTTAGAGATCAACAGGCAGCGGCAACTTTCACAATGCAGAACATTGTCTCGTGCTCGTCCCTCTTGGTGCTAGTAGCACGAATCTTATGGCCCAAGAGCACGTAAGTGTCAACCAACTTGTTCCTTCAAGCCGCGTACCAACACTCCTTTGAACGCACCGGACAGGCAGTAACGGCGACGACTGTCTGTGGCCCTCCACGCGCTAGTCGCCTACTCCTCGTCACCGATCGTTCAAGTAGTCTACGTTCCCTCGTGGATACGTTATTGTGCTATCACATAAGAATCCACTTCCCGATTCTGCTTCTTTCTCGTTACAAGCCGCTAACGGTACCCGCATCGCTACATACGGCGAACGTTCCCTCACCCTTAACCTCGGAATCCGACGTGCGTTCAAGTGGATCTTCCTCTTGGCCGACGTCCAAACACCTGTCATCGGTGCAAATTACCTAACCCATTACAATCTATCTGTTGATGTGCGACACAAACGTCTCTTAGATACGCTTACTTCCCTCTCAGTCAACGGAAATAGTGCCACAACTTCATCCATAGGTGTCCGAGTTATCTTACCGGATTCACATTTTGCTAGCATACTAACGGATTTTCCAACACTTACTCATCCACCTCAATACACTCAACCGGTCACTCGTTCGCCAAAATCAGACGAGAGTTCCACCTGTCCATGC